CCTAAAATGTTCTTTAAAATACTATTTTAAGTACCCTGGGTTGAAAAAAAAAACAGTTACAGAATAAGTCCATGTACTATTTAGGGTGGACAGATTAGACAGACCTTCATATGACCCGATCTGGCCTTCTACTGACTTGCTATGGATATGAAGATGACTCTGAACTTTTGATCCTCTTATCTTTTGTTCCTGGGTTCTGGAATTACAGATGTGCTCTGCCATGTCTAGCTCAGATACTAATTTGTAAAGTATTTTTCAGAAAGACTACCATGAGGCTGAGGGTACAGTGCAGTGATAGAACATGTGTTCAGATTGTGTTAGGCTCTAGGTTTGATCCCTGGTGACAAAAGGCTGAGGCGTGGTGTGGATAGAAATGTTTTTCAACTCTGTATTAAACATATTAAAACATAAAACAAAGCATCTAAATATAGCTGAGCAAGGCTTCTGGATAACCTGAGCTCCAAAAATTCTTGGCATAGTCCTGGCTTTTTGAGATACTGATGTTTAAAAAAAAAAGCAAATTTTAATATTTGAAAATGCTTTAAAAAGGGTTCATTTCAGTGAGGCGGTACATTATTTATTTGTATCATGAAACATTAGTAGCCCATAATTTGTATATTAGAAAAATGGGAAAAGTCAATGTATAAGTAAGGAATGCACAAAACTGTGCAGCTGACTGTTACAACACCGCAAAGTACAAATGAGAAGTTCTAATTCCAGCTCTTTCTGTACTAATTCTCTGTTGTCATGAGAATCCTAGCAAAAGGCAGACACTTGAGGGTCTGCACTGCTGATTCTGAAGATGTAGTCAAAAGCAGCTGCTTTCAGTCCCAGACCTCATGACTAGTTCCCAAGCTAGAAGAAAAGCTAGACAAATGTTTGCCAACTGTAAAGTTGTAGGATCCATTGGAAATGACCCAGGAGATTTCTGCTTTGTTTACTTTTAATTAAAAGCATCTAAAATAAGATCTACAAGCAGACTGAAATCTTTTCATTGGTATTTTCTTGTTTGTTTTAATTAGTAAGGAAACTCTCCATTCCAATTTTGCAGTAGAGAAATGTAAAAAGAATGTCATCACACTTACCCAGCCTCCATTCTGCCGTATCCATTCTCCTGTGTTATTCATTATGAATTCAGCCACAAAACTGGAAACTTGCTTGTAAGCACCTGCATCCATGCCAATCTGCTCTTGTGGGAGTTTTTTGAGGAGAACACCCCCAAAGGCAAATACAGTCACAATCCTTCCCCAGTTAATGATGCCATCTTCAAATTCTTTTTCCATCACTTGATTGAATATAGTTCTGGCAGCATCTATGGATCCCACATCAAAATCATCCAAGTATAGTTTCAGATTCTTTTCCACTTTTTTTTGAGCTGAGAAAGCAACTCTTTGTAGCACTCTGGATGTTTTGCTTGGAGCCAATTCTAAAGGGGGTACCTGCAGGACATACTGAAGATAGTCCTCAGCCAGAGAGTGGATATACATGAACTCATAGTCAGTCATCTTCCCTGGCAGAGCTGACTGGAGCTGTCCACCCGGAGGCCAAAGAGGCAACTAACACAAAGACAGGATCTGGCGGCGGAGGGTAATCATATTTGAAGGCTGCTGGAATTTCTCTTTACGTAGGTCACTGTGTGGGCTATGTGTGAAAGCAAAAGCTCAAACTGTGAAGGAGGAAAATGTTTCAGAGCAACACCACTTCCTCTTATGGTTCAGTTGAAGCATCAAAAATGAGAGGAGGTAGAGAAATCAGATCCCCGTAGGTTCCTGGGAACTAGAGGCCCTTCTGAGTCACTCTGGCAATATTACCCTTGAGATGTAGATATACTAGGTTGAAAGGAGAAAAAGTTAGCTTCTCATATTTATAATTTCTGATGGGAAACAATTTGGCTTTAAGCCCAACTTAGTACATATTCTCGTTTAAGTGTGTATCTATTTTTGTTTTATACCTGTGCCTGAGTTTATGTATATGCAACATGTACATGCAGTACCCATGGAAGCCAGAAGAGGGGTTGGACCCCTTAGAACTGGAGTTACAGGTAGCCTGGTATGGGTGCTAGGATCTGAACCTGGATCCCCTGAAATAGCAACAAGTGCTCTTAACTTCTGAGCCACATTTCTAGTCCTTAATACATAGTCTTAAATCATATACATTATCCTGTATCTTGGTCAGAAATCATGGGAGAAATTAGAAGGAGCAATGATCTTAGAGTTACAATGCCTGGTCTCAGTTATAGACAAGTCCTTCTTCCTGTTTACTGTGGCTGTGGCCTGAACTTTGTAAAAGGAAGCCATCTAGACTGACTTTAGAGGGCTGAGGTGAAACCAAAGGAGATGACCTAGATAATGCACCTGTCATCATGTCTGGTGAGATTAGGTGCTTTGTGGTGCTGCTCTTCATTCTTTTAAGAATTAGTGATGATTCGGCTTCTCAGTCATCTCCTGACCTAGTGAGTAGAGAACTTCAGAAGTTCACAATTTGAAAGCCTGCATTTTGTTGAGCTTTGGTAGCAATTCTGAGAGAAGCTTAGTGGAGATGGTGAAATCAGTGGCTAAAGCAATGTTGCCGACTTTGGGTTGAAGCTTAAGTCTCCTCACTTAAGTATGTAGCAGTGAAAGCAGCTGCTGAATTCATGAAGATGAGGGGCCTTGCTTGTCTGACAGCTTCAAACTGAAGAGCCAGTGGTGGAGAAATAGAGACAATTCCTATCTTTGGAAAAGTCAAATGTTTTTTTACCCTTCTTCTATACATGCTGTGATTTTGATTCTTTGCATCAGATTCTCATGCACAACTGCAAACATGGAAGACAAAGTCATTTACAACTTGTATTTACAATCCGTCACCATAGAGTTGAGGAGGAGGGGAGACAGATTACTTAGGGTGCTTGGAAATAGAGACCTATGGTAGCCATGGAAATATATAAGAGTTATTGATTCAAAGTCCCAGCTGATTTGTTTTAAACTTACCACCAACTTTGCACTAGAGACAGCAAGGCAGGACTGTGAAGCCACCCTCCTATACAACTGGTTATAAAACAGGTAGATTATATTAATCTACTTGATTAATGCTACTTTCCATGCTTTTCTTCCTTCCTCACATGGATCAGTCCTGAATTACTCTCTTGCAGCCTGCCAGTTTCTTCTGGCTCCCTTCCCATCTCCTCTAACAGCATTTTCCTCAGCTATTTCCTCACATCTACTTAACACAGAATCTTCTTTTTGGAGTATCCATACAGAACAGAAGAATTCATGGTTAAAGGGCCACCATACTTCTATTAAATTTTACCATGCAAAATTCCTTTGTGACTATTTCTGTTAGCCCACATAATCACAAGGCCATGGGTAAACTCCGCTCTGGCTTTCTAATCAGATTTGAGCATCCTAAGGACCACTGAAATGATAGGAGGATTGTATACCCCCCACACATACATTCCTATGATGCTCAGAATTTCTGACAAAGTAGTAGAAGAATGTAGCTTGAGAATTTTAATAAAGTCTTCTGTGGTCAAGGGTACCTTTTACATCTCTTAATACTTATTGCTCCACCTATTGCCTAAGTCTGGACCCAGGAAAGGCAAGAAGTTGACCTTTGTTGAATAAGTGAAATACACTTACTTCAAAACTAGAAGTCCAACTACATTTAGATTTTATATTTCTGAAATATTGGTCCAAAAATGATCTGATTTTAAGTTTTTTTAAATTTTGTTGCTTTATTTAATTTATTTTGGAGGGTTTCCAAATAATTACATTTTAAGACTAGATGAAAGAGAAAAAGAAAAATTTTCACCACCACCACTAAAAAAAAAAAAAAAAAGAAGGAGAAGAAGAAAATGAAAAGGGAATTTCATATATCAAATAAAATGTAAAAGGTCTAGGGGCAGAGTAGCATGCAGAGGGAAGTGAGGGTAAGAGGCAAGTAGCTGACCAAGACACACATACAAGGACATGGAAAGTATCCACTACCACTACAGTCTGTGGCCATGGGTCTTCATTCCTTGCTAGTTCTATATGTAGAATTTTGTGTAGAATAGAACCTACCCCAATACACCCTGAGCAGGTCAACCATACTAGGTGGAAACTGAAAATCATACATTTATTATATTATTCCATAAATGTAGACTAAGGAACAGTGTACCAGCACTGTTGTCTACTAGGTTTAAAAGAAAAAAAAAAGCTTTCCAGCTTACAAAGAGTTTTCAGTACAGGAAAAACAGCATGCCATACATAGTCCAAGGATCTGTTGAATGGAATGATTAGAAGAGGTCGCTCTAGTAGATTCAAAAATAGAGGTATTTCCTGAATTACAAACTAAGATGATCATAGTCTTGAGGCGGTGCCATGGTTCTGAAGCTCTGAACTTTATCTATTGTGAATTAATTGTGGCAGGCTGATTGGAAAGAGAGATGGTTGGAAAAATATTTGCCAATATTTCCATATTTAAAAAGTCCTTTGGCTCAGGGTCTGGCATTTATCATAGCTGTAGGGCAGCTGGTTAGCAGCTTGCCTGAGTTTAATCCCCAGCAACACAAATATGAAAGAAAAACATCTATGGCCTGACCAAGCCTTTCTTTGTGCTTATTTTATCCAGAAGATTCAATTGAAGAAGCTTGATAGCCCAGCCGGGACTGAATGAACTACTAGTGACTGCCATGAGAACAACAAGAATATGTGTCATCTTAATAATGAATTAAGAACTTCATCCTTTTGTACAATTTTTTTGCTGTCAATGTTTTGGTTATTAATTAGTGTGTACATCCTTGTGTATTTTCATTGAACTTGTAAAAGTACTCCTATGTCCAATTATCTGTGCTTATAATAAGCCACCCTCTCAATACCCAAGGTTTAAAATAGTAATCAGGTAGTTGTCTGTGTGTATGTGTGTGTGTGTGTGTGTGTGTGTGTGTGTGTGTGTGTGTAAGTATGTATGTATGTTTCTCATGACCCTGACATTTGTCAGGACCTAATAGGGCTAACTGGTATTTGTTCCTTAATGTCTAGGATTTGGCTGAAATGACTTAAAACAATTGGGACTCTTCTGTTCTGACCAATAGAAGAAATAGTTGCGATAGGAAACAAGAGTACAGAACTCCAAAACTATCCCAGCTAATGAGTATCCAGGATGATGCAAGCTGCAGGACAAGGTAAGTAAGTTTCAAAAGAAACTATTGAGGTCAACTTCTCTTTCCCCAAAGGAGGAACCTGAAAATTTGCTGGGCTTTTTGTTGCTTCCTCGGAAGTGACATGGGGGAGTTCTGACTCTGCTTGGCTCTTTCACTCTTCTGAATTTAGCATAACTACTTCCCTATTCTGAAGCCCTGACCAAGGCAAATTCTCTGTAGAGAAAGATGGTCTTCATGTATACAAAACGAGGAGATGATCTCTCCAAGGTATAATTGAGGAAAAGTTTTTTTATTGTATATATGAGGGAGAGTACGGTCAGAGGTATCTGGAAGAGTCCAGAGCAGGGAGAGAAAGTAGTAGACTAAACAAGACCAGTAGACTGAACTGGGCCATGGGGGGAGGGGGAGCAAGAGAGGAAGAGAAGAGAGAGCAAAGACAAGAGAGGGCCAAGAGAGAGGACCAAGAACCAAGAGAGAAGAGAACCAAGACAGGGGCTGGAGAGATGGCTCAGTGGTTAAGAGCACTGGCTACCCTTCCAGAAGTCCTGAGTTCAATTCCCAGCAACCACATGGTGACTCACAACCATCTTTAATGAGATCTGGTGCCCTCTTCTGGCCTGCAGGCAAATATGCAGGTAGAACACTGTATACATAATAATAAATGAATAAATCTGGCCAGGCAGTGGTGGTGCATGCCTTTAATCCCAGCACTCAGGAGGGAGAGCCAGGTGGATCTCTGTGAGTTCGAGGCCAGCCTGGTCTATAGAGCGAGATCCAGAACAGGTACCAAAACTACACAGAGAAACCCTGTCTCACAAAGAATCAATCAATCAATCAATCTGAAAAAAAAAGAGAGACAACCAAGACAACAAAAAGAGGGCACATGTCCAAAATGGCAAGGTTCTATAGAGATGAGAAGCTGGAGAAAGGGAAGACCATAGGCTAGAGAAGTTTAGGGTAGGGGTTGGGGTGAGAAGAGCTGAGAGGAGTCATGGATTATAACAGGTACTTGCAATGCTGAGAGAGCCTAGAGGCCAGCATGTTCTTTGGTACGTTAATAGGTACCACTGTTAGCCATTTGTCCCCAGTTTCTCTTGGACCTGACACACTAATAACACAGTTGAAGCACAAAAGAATGAGAGAAATAAGCATAAGAATTCACCTGTGTGTCTTTCATGACCTCCTTCAGTCCAATGGGATCAGGTCTTCATGGTCAGAAAAATCCACTGGAGACAAACCCATCTCCTCAGTTCCCTGGGTTATTTTTTGTTTTTGTTTTTGTTTTTTGTTTGTTTGTTTGGTTGGTTGGTTTGGTCTAAAATAAGAAAAAGCACTAGAGTCTCAGAGTGACAAGGTTCCTGGTAGGAGTGCATTTCTCACTATGGAGACTGAGCTCCAGGCTATTCTATGAGCACAAATGGAAGCATGAGTTCCCTTAATTTTCTTCCTATGTTCTGGAGGAAAGTTCAAGAGGGTTCTGGAGAGACCCAACTAGTTATGAACTCAGTCAGTGGATTGATACCTGAGAAAGCAGAGAAGCATCGTGCAACCTGGTGTGGAATGTTATCTAAGGATACAGAGGCACAAGGAAATGAAAGGGGGAAAGGATGGGGAAAGTGAAACAAGGAATGGGAAGCCAGGGGAGAGGTTATCTTTACAGATACAGTCAGGAAAACTCTGTTGTTTTACTGTCGGCTTAGCAGCTGCATCTGAATCTAGGGCTATTTTAGCTGCTGTCTGCAGCTCTGCAGTCAGTGCTCCTCTAGCTCCTCTACTCAGGCTGTGGCTGGTGGGACTTCCCATCCAGCTGACACCAATTCTGCCATTGCCACCAAATGTAGGTTTTAGCTAAGTATCATTCTATTTACCAATAAAGACTTGGGAGTCAGATGATGGGGTGAAAACCTGCTAGCTCAGAGAAGCCTAAAAGCAACCAACTGACTGACCTTCCTCTTTGGCTGACAACCCAGCAAGAGTATCTCTCCAGCTGTCCCAAACCCAAAAGACTGCCAATACTCCAAGTTTCCCTACTACTTCTTGTCTATCTCTCTATCCATCTTCCTGGCTCCTTCATACTCTCTGTGTCTAATTCCTGTCAACTAGTTGCTGGCTCTGCCTCCTGACCCAAGGTTGATTTTATTACATAGTCTTGGGTTCACAGTGCAATCAAATATCCTGCAACAAACCTCTTTATGTGTGCTGGATGGAAGTAGGTATGCAGATAGTGAGTGTCATGCTGTGTCTTATGCTGCAGCTACTATACGCTTTAAGCTGAGCTACAGGCTCATAGCTGTCTAGTAGTACTATCTCACCTTTGATTTCTCTGGAAAGCCTGGCTTAGGGACTGGTACATAGAAAACACATAATAAATGTTCACTGGGTTCAGTAGTATTGTTGAGTATTTCACTTATGTCCTGATATAAACTGAGGTTGATATTGTATCCAAACTATATTAGCTTTCTGTTAAGTTTTGCTCAGCAAAGCAAAAGGAAAATGTTCTTTTCCTTCAAATATCATTTCAGGGGAAGTACGAGGGGAAGGCCTGTTTAAATAGGACCTTTAAGTCATTGTGGTAGAGGGCCTTGGGATTTTCACTGCCCAGAATGAAATGGCAAAAAGCACACATTACCAAAGAAGCAGAAGTACTTGGTGACAGCAAGTGAAACTGGGTCTCTCCAGGGCAATTTTCTACAAGTGTCAAGGTCTACACATTCACTGAGAAACAAAGTACAGAGGACAGCTATGCACCAAGCCAATTGCTCTCTACTGAGTATAGGCCACATGCCAGGCCCTGAACTGGGCTCCAGGAATCTGAACAGGGAGTCTTGAGTTATTAACACAGTCCTCAGAGTGTGAACCAACAAAAAAAAATTGAACTGCAGAGTGTCACAGTACAAAATAATACAAAAGACCAAGAGGGAGGAAAAAGGGTCTTTTCTGAGAAGACTGGCATAGAAGTTGGCTTTTATAGATAAACAAGATGTCATCAGTCAGAAACTGCAGCATTGTGAAGTGTATAAGTGTACTTTAATGAGTGTGCTTTATGGTGAGCTAAAGTGTGGACTCTAGTGTATGGATGGATGCCTTAAGAGAGGGGAATCCAGATCACAGTAGCCTTGAGTACCAGGTTATGAGCTTTGAGTACTGGGTTGTAAGCTGAAAATAAGAGGGACATTTGAAAGGTTTAAAATAGGACAGGATCATGGTAAAAATCTATATTTTAGGACTGCTAGTTGGACTTTATTTCTGGTAAACAGAAGCTTTCCTCTGTCCTGCCCTGTCCCACAGCTGCTTTTAAATAATCACTCAGAGGCTTAATATCAATTACAGAATGTTTGGCCCATAGTTCAGGCTTATTACTAACTAGATCTTACATTTAGATTAACCCATTTCTATTAATCTATGCATTGCCATGTAGCCTGTGACTTACTGGTTCTCTGACATCTTGTGCCTCGGGTGACTGAATCGAGTCTGCCGACTCCTCCTTCCTTCTCCCTGTATCTCCATTTTGCTTTCCCGCTCAGCCTTATTCTGCCTGGCTATAGGCCAAATCAGCTTTTATTATCAATCAATGAGAGCAGCATACATTCAGCATACAGAAGGATCCTCCCACAGCAGTTGGGTCCTAGGGAAATTGGTGTCATGAGAAACAAATTTATGTAAGTCCTGCATATGAAAGAAAGTGTGGTATTAGGCTGAGTTCAACTTATTTCACTTAATGATTTCAGTTTTATTTACAGGATCATAAAATTCTATTGTGAATATGTATCATGTTCCCTTTATCCATTTTTGTTGATGGACATCTAGGCTGGTTCTATTTCAGGCATTTATAAATAGTACAGCAATAAATGTGAATGTATAGGTAAGGTATTTCTGTGTGTTAACTTGGCATCTTTTAAATATGTACATAAGAGTGACATAGGAGATTGAAATGGTCATTCAATTTTTATTTTTTTGAGGCGCCTCCATACTTATTTCCATAGTGGCTGCATAGGTTTGGTTTCTCATCAGCAACGAATAAGGGTTTTCCTCCCACATTCCCCTTTCCTGCATTTGATGTCATTTGTTTCCATGATCATGGTCATCTGACTGGGTTGAAATGGAATTTCAAAGTAGTATTGTGTCTCCTTGATGACTTGGAACACTTTTCCAAGTATTTATTGCCCATTTGTATTTCTTCACTTGAGAATAGTCTATTTAGTTCATTGGCCCATTTACTGGTTTAGGTGCTTTGTTTTTATCTGTTCCATTTTTTGCAGTTCTTTATAAATATCCCAGAAATCAATGACTTGTCTTATGAATAATAGGCAGATATTTTTTTCCATTCAGTAGGCTGACACTTCATTCTAATGTTGTTTCCTTTGCTGTGCCAAAGATGTTTTCATTTCATGTAATCCTCATTCATCCATTCTTAGAACTATTTCTGATATATTAGAGTCCTTTTCGAAAAATGCTTGCCTATGCCTGTATCTTCAGGTGTTTTTCTTAGATTTTTTTGTAACAGTTGCAGAGTTTCTTTTATTATTATTATCATTATTATTATTATTATTATGAAATTTTCTATTCATTTTACATACCAACCACACAGATCCCCCTCTCCAATTCCCCAACCTCCTCCAACCCTCCCCCCATTCCCACTTCATCCAAGTCAAGGTCTCCCATGGGAAGTCAGCAAGCAGAGCCTGGCACATTCAGTTGAGGCAGGTCCAAGCCCCTACCCCCTGCACCAAGGCTGCGCAAGGTGTCACACCTTAGGCAGTGGGCTCTAAAAAGCCCACTTATGCACCAGGGACAGATCCTGATCCCCCTGCCTGGGGACCCCCCAAACAGTTCAAGCTAAATGACTGTCTCACATATCCAGAGGGCCTAATCCAGTCCCATGGGGGGCTCCACAGCTACTGGTCCATGGTTCATGGGTTTCCACTAGTGTGTCTGGTCATCTCTTTACGTTTTCCCATCATGATCTTGATGACCCTTTCTTATAGAATCCCTCCTCTCTCTCATTGATTGGATTCCTGGAG